GGGTTGTTACAGATGGTCGACCAGAGTTAAGGACCGTCCTCGAGTTGCCACCCAGAATGAAGACGGATATCAGAGGCGCAGAGATGGCAAATTATTGGCATGAATTCCGCTGGTATGTCCTACAAGGCGATAGGTAGACAGCTTGGCTATCATTACACAGTGATCAGCCGTTTGGTCAGAAAACATTTGCCATTCTTACTTAAAATGATTTTGCATTCAGAAATTCGGGACTTAAATACGGATTTGATGCACGAGAAAATAGTGCATATTGGACGTGAAGAAGGGAGCAAGTTGCACGTGGGCCTGATTTAAATGTCACACCTGAACACTAACATCCTTTTAATTATGTTTGAAATTATGAACATTGCTCAACATCATGAAAATTAAACCTTATTTTCAATAAGCAATCCTGAAAAATATTTGGGGGTGCTTAACTTTTTTCCAGGTGTATATTATCATTCAGTAAGTATGCACAGTAAACTGTACAAAATGTAAACTATTATCACTCAGTAAGTATGCACAGTAAACTGTACAAAATGTAAACTATTATCATTCAGTAAGTATGCACAGTACACAGTACAAAATGTAAACTATTATCATTCAGTAAGTATGCACAGTAAACTGTACAAAATGTAAACTATTATCATTCAGTAAGTATGCACAGTAAACTGTACAAAATGTAAACACTATTATCATTCAGTAAGTATGCACAGTAAACTGTACAAAATGTAAACACTATTATCCTTCATTAGGCATTCACAGTAAACTGTACTATCTGATTACTTGCAAGTATAATTTTGTTCCTTTGAAATGAGTAGTGTGAAGAGTGTTTATTGCTGGGGTTTTTATTATTATTAAAATAATTATAAGCATACTCTCCGAGTACCTTTTTTTTATCACCCCTTACTCGGATTCTAACCCCCTTATCGTCTTCAGCACCCAGATTTTGATTTTTTTTTCTGGTCAACTTGTCTCATGTCATTATAATGTATGAAAATTTTTGGGAAATCTTTCACACGAACACAAGTTTGCAGAAGTTATAGATAAAACAATCTCAAGCGACTTAAAGTACACTATAGTAGGTTATTAGATTAAAATAAATACAATTTAAATTATTGATTAAGAAGAAATACATATGTAATAGTCTAATATGTATAATTAAGTTTTGTGTATTTACTTTAAGCACATCAGAGAAAGTTCAGAAACCTCTTTCAATTACATTTAGATGTTTATTTGTTATATTCTGTGTGCTTCTAGAAAATGTTAAAATAACAGTTGTGATTCATGGTCTTACCACAAGTTTTCATTGTTAAAAATCACTTGTATCTATCTACCGTGTGGTGAAGATGGGGATCTCTGTTTAGGCGGGAAGAAAGAATAAGCACGCAATAGGCAAAACTTTTATACTCCCCTACCAAAAAGTATTTAGAAACGTAATTATAACTATAAATAAATCAATATAAAAATAAAAATTTCAGGGTTATTCATTTTGTATATAATTAAACACAAATATAAACTATTTTTGTATAACTTTTTTTCTTATCTTTGGAAGCACAAATTTACTTTTAATTGTTTTTGATTTAGAGCATTTTTTTGTAATGTTGCAATCCATGATCATCTCGGTTTTGCTCTCGGGCCTCTTCTAATTTCCTTCTTTCGCGACTGTGGGAATTTCATTAAAAGGCTGACTTGTTAATTTAAGATATTTAAAAGTATCTCACTAGGGCTTATTAGCCTTTGTTAGTGGATTAGCATTCCAGATTGGGTTAGTACAGCATTCTCCTGGAGTGAGATATCGGATTCAATACAAAGCCAATGGATTACTACAGACTCGTTTGTAGCCGACCAATCAACATTGAATATACATATAATATTGCCCGAGCAGTTAAACAAAAGATCTTTACTAGCAAGTGCTAATGGGTTAACCTTCCGGTTCAGTTTAGGAAATACTCGCTTAAAGTACGAGTGGACCTGGGGTCAAATTTTGTACATGGGAGACTCCAAAATTTGAAAATTACAGTACCTATTTGTATGTTTGAAATCGAGTCCGAGATTATCTGGCGAAAATCGTTGGGTTAGGTGCTGTATGCATAACTTAAACATGTTAACCCTATATTAAGTATGGTGTGCTTTTTAGAGAGCACAACTCCATATCAACCCAAGCTAGTTAAGGCGCTCGACCCGCAGTTTTTGGGTCGCGGAATCGAACCCCGTTACCGAAAATCTTCGAACTTTCAGGTGTGGGGCGTTATAAAGTCACATTGAATCCCATTATTCGTTGGTAAAGAGTTGGCGGAGGGTGGTGTTAACTAGCTACCTTCTTTCTAGTCTATCACTTCAAAATTAGCGTCGGGTAGCACAGATAGCTCTCAAGCTATCTAGTATCATTTAACGAGAATTGAAATTTTGAAAGGTGAAAAAAAAAAAAACTTCCTTAATAGTTTTATTGCACTTTAACAAGGTTTAGGTTTTGTCAGGTGAACATACCTAATGGCTTTTTTAAACGTTTGGAAACCGCTAATAATTCAGAAGCTCATGATATAAATAAGAATTTTAATGTCCAAATTGGATAGAAAAATCGTTAGGTTCTATTCAACAAAGAATGGTTATAGACAAGCGGACTGAGTGACCCAAGTAGTTTGAAATTGATGTTAAACGTCAAGTTTAAAAAATGACGTACATTGTGGGTATAAGAATGTTGAAAGTTTTACTTTCATAAAGAAATGTTAACGAAGAGTATAGTAATCAGAATAACTTTTAAAACTTCCCGAGATATATAATTAAAATGTTTCAAACTAGACACAAAAATGACAAGCTACATAAAAACTATTCGTTCATAGCTGTCCCTGATAGACTAGAGGGAAGCTAGCCAACAACGCTCACCGCCAACTCTTCTCTGATCGAATAGTAAGAATTGACCGTCACTCTTATAGTGCACTTATAGCCCCAAAGTGAAAAGCGCGTTTTGGGGACAACGGGTAGCGAACCTCGAATCTTCGGTTTCACAGCCGGAGTGCACTAACCATCAGGGCACTGCTAAGGTTATATACAAAAGGGAAGGGTTCTAGATGAGCTGAATGAAGGATGTAGAACTTTCAAAATGGTGTTAAACACCAGGCTTGAAAATCGTGTGTCGTGGGGATAAGTATGTCAAAAGTTTTTGTTCTTTTTTTTGGAGAAATGTTAATGATGATAATAATTTATATTCAATAGTTTCAAATCTCTTAAGATTTTTACCCATGTTTTTTATGGGTATTGGGGCTAACAATTATGCTGTGATCCATAAAAATCCTATATAATTTTTGCCTTATTCATGTTTTTGAAACGTATTTTTAAGTAGCTCCTCAACGGCAAGTCTGAAAGCTTATAACGCTAAAAACTGGGTTTCAATACTCGTGGTGGGCACAGCAGAGATAACCCATTGTGTATTTATGTGCTTAACAACCAGATAAACATTTTTCGAGATAAATAGTTTTACTATATGTCGAAACAGTTTTATGTTTCTGCTACTAGCAAATAAACAAGAATAAAAAATTATATAGGCGTTTACGAAGACATATAATTAATATTTTTTTCTATCTATCACAAAGATGTGCAATGGATTATCTGCGCTCTGTCTATCGTAGAGAATCGAACCCCGGATTTTAGTGTTGTAAAACTCGCCGGTGAAAAATTCGTATTGAATTAAACTAATTGAAAACAATGTATGGATATACGAAAATTCATTGTATTGGAAAAAAATAACCATAAATATATATGTAACTGAAAGTCAAATCTGTTTAATAAAATGTGTTCGAAATTTTAAAATTAAAACAGATATATACGTGACGTTCAATTATAGCTCGTTAATGTATTATAACCCTAGGAAGAAGAACAAATGTAGTAAATAGGCTTGAACAGAAGGAAGTGATACGTATAATAACATTTAATAAATTTTAATGAACACTTTATTTTTAGTTGTACAACAACACAGGGGTAATAGGCCCGTTACCATTAACTTTAAGTAAAGCGTAATATAATTTAATAGCTGAATTTAGAAAGCATGCTTCAAACTAGAATTTTAGAAGTATTGGTCACGTTGTTTTTAACCATTTCTTCATATGTACATAAGTCATGCTCGTTACTATAAACTTGGGTAAATCAGTATTATCAGTTTAAAGCAGCATCATTGCTCGTATTAAACTTGCTTATTAACAAGTTGGACAACCAGAACTTGTTGGATAATAGATGACACATGCTTTCTCTTTAAGTTTGAGCACGATAGTCATTTCTGTACAATTCTAACACAGTTTATTTTTCTAGTTTGCACAATTTTCGATGATCAACGTGTTTTGTATGTAAAATAAGGAGCTTTGAAATATTATATTACTACTATCTTGAAGATATAATCTAACACTGTGTACAATGATAATTCTATTTATTTTTTTTTAGATTTTTCAAATTGAATTGAAATTGAAGAAGACAGTCTCAGTTGTAGTTTGTGTTAACTTAAAATATTCACGCAGTCTTTATAAATGGGAAATTATATACCATAGCCGTTTGTCTCTTTTTATTATCATCTCCTAAATGTACGTTGCCATCGACCGTTTGACCTTAACGTAGTTTTGAATGTCAAAAGTTGTTTTTAAAGAACAACTTTTGATAGACAGAATCTCGCGAAAATGATGACTAGTATATATTCTTCCATTTATACAGATTGAATGATTTTCTCGGATATTTTGTAGAAACAGGTGACTGTAACATTAACCTAATGAGGACAGTTGTATTCCATGTATTACTCGATAACGATAAGAATGGCAAGAAGTGATAAGCTTCCTTATTTGTACCATTATACATTGAAATATTATGAAACTATATTGGCTACCTGACTCATCGATGCATTCAGAAACTTTGGTTTTAGTCCTACACAGAAGCGTAATTTCAAAATGCGACAAAGAGCGTTATTCTACCCCAATTTGTACAAGTGTGCGTGAGTTTCTTTAAATATTACCTGTTTTTAGTTTAATGTTAATAAGAGCTCTTACCATATTACGATAGGAGCGATTTCTCTGTAACAAAACATCTGTTTTAGTATTAACACTCGACGTTTTATATCACCAAAAAGAAGCGAGTATTATTATTATTATTATCTTGGGTTTAACCGAACTGGATGTGCAAGATGATGCTTGACAGAACGTGTAGGTCTGGAACTAAATATTTTGGTAAAGAAATAACTCTATAACGCATGACGAAGAAGTAACAACCAAATACGCCCCCATCCTGAATCATTTTTCATAATATTACTACACAACCGGTTTCTAAAGGATAATCTGTATTAAATGTGTAGCGTAAAATATAGTTAAGAAAGTGTCAACCTACAACCAGAGCTGCTAAACATGAAGAGGGCACTATGTAATTAGTTGATAGTTCTTCCTGTAACCCGATTGACCATGAAGTACATTAAAAAAAAGTACTTAAGTTTAAAAATTCGTTATCTTGAAATTAAATATATATGGTTAATGGAGGGGCAAAACTTTTGATTTATTTTAATAAACCAACGTTTCGGTTTCGTGCCATTTGTTAAATCTTATGAGCATCTTCAGGTCATTTGGTTAACGCGATAAATGCTAAGCCTAAAGGCTCTTTTATATATAATTTAACAACTATATTTGAAAACAAAAAGTTTAACACGATTAATGTGGAATTCCGTTTGCACTAGTAAAACCTTTTGATTATATGTTAGCTACGTAAACATGCTGGATATCTATAATATACAAGTTAACAGTATATAAACAAACGAACGTCTCAGAAAGTTGAACATATACATCAGTCACATGCTTTAATAGTACTCTTACTAAAAATAACAACACACTGTTTTCGAAACGTCTATAGCTTACTATTTTCAATGAGCCTTTTTTCTTTTATAACTTTTAAGATATAGCTTGAAATAATGTATGTAATTACACGTAGTGAATAATAGTTATCGCTCAAAGTAAATCAGACAAAGTTAATGACAAACTCATGCCTCAGAAAATCTCAGTGCATGTATCGTGGTGAATCTTCACTTTTGATGTAATGCAATAAGCGCTGAGACGATGAATACTTTAATATAATATGGCTATGAAGATTCTAAATGAATATGGCGGGAAAGTGGTATAAGTTACCACCATCAATGCTTTTCCGAAGAAGAAAAAGACCTCGAAGGACGGACAACATTTGAAAAATCTTTATGTTCACTTTTAACTTTATCTTCTGTATTCAACTTTCCTAGTTTGCCGCTAAATTCTTTGTTAGGTCTTCTCGCAAGACGGCTGCGGACAGTTGGAAAAGGGTTGAACTGACTTGACTTTGTAGGGCTCTGTTTAGGAGATGAATATGAAGAACTTGCCCATTGTTCGATGGTAACTTCTTTTGGCAAAGAAGATGATTTACTTTCTATCACCGCTAGTTTTTCCACTTCTTGTCTCGTTGGACTAAATTTCCTTTCGCTGCTTTGTGATATAGACCGATATTTTCTCACGTCTTCTTTGGCACCAGACAAATTTGGCACAAAATGAGACACGTTCACGTGTTCTTCACTCACTGAACGTTTGTGCTTCGTTCCATGAGGACCTAGTATAGGGTCTTTTTTTTGTAAGATCGTACTGAAAGTTTGCGTTAAAGGTGTCACTGGAGATAAGGTAGGGTAAACTTCATTGGAAACTCTAGACTTTTCTGTGTGGGTAGATGCTAGTTTCAGTAGTGTTTCTTTCTGTATAGGCTTATATTTTGGTTTGGTTTCGTGTGCATGTAGCCGAGGGGCAGACTGGGCATTTTCTGTTTTCGCCGGAAGACTTGACACAAACCCCTCAACTCGAAAATGATCGGTATCTCTTCCATTAGTTTCGTTGTACTGTTGGTTCATTTTTCTTTGGTTGAAGATGTCCGAGTCACATTCTATGCCGCATTTTTCACTTAGTGTTTTATTGTTAGAATCAAATGAGCTTTGTTTAGAAGTTACTGAAGTTTCTCCGGACTCTTCCATTGCTGGGGTCATCAGAAGATGGGTGGTAGCCACAACAGTGTTTTTTTCTTCACTCTTCGCTGGTAAGTGGCTAAAATGTCGAGTCATCGATGACAACTGCTGAGTCTCGACACTAGGCGTTGCTTCTGGTGAGTTCGAAACGTTTGAATTTGACGCTTTTCGTCCCATTTCGGGTGATGAGTAATCACTTATGTCGCCAGGTGCCTCATCATCACATAACTCCGTGGAGCTACTGCTTTCACTGTCCCCGTTCTCTAAGCGGTCTCTTTCTGCAACACTATCTACAAAATCCACTTCTCCTCGCCTTACTCCTGTTGTCTTTCCTTCAACAGTGTGTGGAATATTGTGAAGAAGCTGTCGCCTTGCTGTTGCCATGGTAACCAGATGCTTTCTCTTCTCTTTCTTGGCTTGTTCCCACGTTAGAGTTTGACCGGAGTCCTCCGAAACTACGTCTACACGTTTGCTGAATTTAGAGCTTCCAGAAGATTCAAGATGACGATGACGATTTCGTTGAACGTTATTTTGTTTGGGTAAATTGTCTTTGAGACTGAAGGTTGTTTTGGTTGTTTGTTTCTGCTTTCTTATCAAAGGTTTCTTTCCTAACAGAAGATGATTGACAGCTATTGGTTGACGTTGTTTGGCTTTGTTGTGCTGGTAAAAAGTACCTGCAAAATGAATTCGCCTTATTATGTTTAAAGTCTCACGGCTACTAGGCATGTTTTCAAATACTGAAGAAGCTAGTTGCGAATGAAAAAAATAAATAAATAAAGAGAACAAAAGCCTCGCTAGATTTCCTTGGAAAATATTTAAACAAACAACGTAAGAAACTGTATATATTACATTGTTTAACCAGTTGTTCTAGAAAAGTACTTAAACGAAATTTATATTAATTCATTAATTACTAAAAATTACTTTAAAAATTCTGTTTGTTTATTGGCACAGAATTTTATTAGTTCCCAAATAAAAATATAAAAAACTTTATAGTACAAATATAAGTACACCATATTGCCAAATGGATCAGGTTAACGATCATATTAAATTACATAGAAGCAATTAATTATATTTGTCATAAGACATCATGTTAGGCCTATTATATTTTCACAATACATTCCTAAGATCGTCCCTTGAGGATTGTTAAGAATTGGAAAAGTGTATAATAATAGTATTTCAACCCCACTATATTCGTACTATCCATTGCCGACGACGCGTGTCGCTCAATACGGAGCTCTGTGTTCGTTGTATCTCAGATTATTTCTGCCTTTCTCGAATTTAAACAGTTAATGAATTTTTCAAAACTTGCCTGTTAAGATAATATGTGCTTGTTTCTGCCTTTCTCGAATTTAAACAATTAATGAATTTTTCAAAACTTGCCTGTTAAGATAATATGTGCTTGTTTCTGCCTTTCTCGAATTTAAACAATTAATGAATTTTTCAAAACTTGCCTGTTAAGATAATATGTGCTTGTTTCTGCCTTTTTCGAATTTAAACAATTAATGAATTTTTCAAAACTTACCTGTTAAGATAATATGTGCTTGTTTCTGCCTTTCTCGAAGTTTGGCGTACTGTTTCTTCAAGGCTGAGATATCTAAGGTCATTCTTTCTGGGTTAACGTTGGATGAGGAAGGTGACGGAAGAAGATTTCCACTTGCTGTACTGAAGACTCCTGGTCCAATTAGAGTAAAAGTTGTAGATGCCGATGGCGACGGGGTTCGACTGTTGTCACCTTGCACATTGAAAAAAAGAGAACGTTTATTGAATTATACTCCAAAACACAAACAATCTCAAACTGTAATAAAATGAAAGGAAATAGCGGAGACACACATAAGTGATATATTTACAACGTAAAAAAGAACAGCATTCCGAAGAACTTGTTTTTGGATATCAAACTTAAAAATATATATAACAAGGAAATTATGCTATTAGGGTTACAGATTCAGTTGTTTTGTTTCAGAAAAGAGCAACAACAAAAAGCAAAAAAAAAAAAAAACATTCAGAATTATTTAACGATGTTTAACTTTTAAACTTCTGAAAGTGAAATAACTGTGGTCTTATAGTGCAAACAGGAAAAGAAAAATACACATTCTGCATTTTTTTCTAAAACGTTTCAAGTAAGTCTAGCTTAAATATATATTACATAACACAGGCAGCAGAACAAATTTGAATTCGGAGGGGGGCTTCTTTTCTGCTACGTTGAAACATCGACTTTCCCTGATAATTATACACAAGTCTCTACTTCCCATTTAAGGGGGCACTGCATTACCGGATCAAAAGTTGGGGCACATACCCCTAGTATTCATTGATTTTACTGCCTATATTATATATAATACAATATATCGTTAAAATAAATTAGTTATTTTCTCAGTTTCGTCTGGATAATTTTATTTTAAAATTACTAATGGACTCCACATGTTTTAAAAACATTTTTCTGAACCATTTATGCTTTAATTAAAGTTGTTGTGGGTTCATGACTTTGTTATCTAAAAGTCCCCTGAGATAACATATGAGTTACACATACACATTAAAGTTATTGTGAGTTCATGACTTTGTTAGCTAAAAGACCCCCGAGATAACATATGAGTCACACTTACACCTTAAAGTTATTGTGAGTTCATGACTTTGTTAGCTGAAAGACCCCCTGATAACATATGAGTAATAGACACAATTACACATCAAAGTTCTCATGGGTTCATTACTTTGTTAGCTGAAAGATCCCTGATAATATATAAATCACACGCACACACGTTAAACCAAAAATCCATCAACTTGTAGTTAATCTTACTATTAGGTCGTCAAGAAATTAATGTCGCTTTTTTAGATGAAAAAACCCGAACAACTTATATCAAAACAAAACATTTATTAAATGAAATAGTCGCAATTGT